GGCCCACCGGAGACGCTCAGTGACCATGTGTGAATGAGTAAAGTCTGAGAAAGGTGGTTGCTCGGTTTGTTTGTTTTTTTATATGAATTTTTTTAATCACAAATTGTGGTTAAGCTGGTATTTATAAAGTTTTCATTTTTAAAGTCAAAGTGCTGCCATCTTCATTTCTATAAAAATTAAACAGATTTTGTGTATGCTAATTTAGAACATAATTTTACTCAGATAGTTAACTTTAAAAAATATTTTTTTATTGCTTTCAGAGAGAGGGGAAGGGAGAAGGGAGAGAGAGAAACGGTGATGTGAGAGCAACACATCGATCGGCTGCTCACATTTGCCAGTTTTATTTTGAGGGAGTAAGTGAAAATCTTAGCAGTATGTATTTTCACAAAAATAATAGTCCCGTCATCGTATTCTCATGTTGTTGATTCCGTTTGCTTCGGGGAGGGTAGGTACAGACAGCTGGGGAGGCGGGCGCCACCCTTTGTAGTTAATCCCAGGCCAGGTTTGTAATTTACAAATTGAAAACGACGCTTTCCAACTTCCTTAAAAAACACTGATGAGCCAAAACCGGTTTGGCTCAGTGGATAGAGCGTCAGCCTGCGGACTGAAAGGTCCCGGGTTCGATTCCCGTCAAGGGCATGTACCTGGGTTGCGGGCACATCCCCAGTAGGAGATGTGCAGGAGGCAGCTGATCAATGTTACCTCAAATAAGCTATGGTTTTTTACCGTGTTGTTTTTTTTTTTAAATATATTTTATTGATTTTTTACAGAGAGGAAGGGAGAGAGAGTCAGAAACATCGATGAGAGAGAAACATCAGCCAGCTGCCTCCTGCACACCTCCCACTGGAGATGTGCCCGCAACCCAGGTACATGCCCTTGACCGGAATCGAACCCGGGACCTTTTAGTCCACAGGCCAACGCTCTATCCACTGAGCCAAACCGGTTTCGGCTACTGTGTTGTTGTTTTTTTGCATGACATGAGGAACACGAGGTCAGGAAAACTTCTATGTGTGCTCTCCGGAGCTTATGATCTAGTAAGAGAGATAGAGACACAGGATCGATGTGCACTGTGATCCCGCACTGACAATTATGAGCGCTCCTCTGCTTGTCCGACGCTTTCCTGACCTGCGTCCACCTTGACCTGCGATGCACTCCGCTTTGCCCCTGTGGCCTCTGCCCTTCTTCCCGACCCACGAACAGGGCGCATTCTGCAGTGGGTAGCTCTCCTGGTGTGAAGCAGTATGTTAGCCCGTGTTAGCTTCTTCCTTGCTGGGTGTGTGTAGGAGCTGCCGTGAGGAGTTGCCGTACCCAGGTGAGGAGCGGAGTGGCCACGCGTGTGTGACGGCGTGTTCTCCCCCGCGCAGGGCCGGCCCCACGGTGCGTCCCCCTGCAGCACGCCGCCGTGGCCAGTGCGGTCCGGGAGCAGGGCCTCTCCCACGTGTGGACCGTGGACTACGCCCTGGAGCTGCTGCTGATCGGCGGCCTGGTCCCGGAAGCCGTGTGGCTGGCCCGGGAGCTCGGGGACTGG